CACCTGTTTCCAAGATCATATTTGATGGAATACAGAACAATTTGTAAATCGACTGGAATGATAGTAAATATTATTAAAAATGAGAGCATTGATAATGGTTCGTTATTGTTTGTTTGTTTCTATGTCTAGGCGCAAAACATCCAGGTCATCACCGCCCGATAAACTAGGTAACACTACATTTATATTGTTCAGGTGGTTGTTTCAAAAAATAAGAATAAAAAAGTAGGATAAAAAGAAAAAAATATAATGATAATAATAGACACTTATAGATAATAAGAAAGAATATCTAAATAAATAAACTAAAAAAAAAATATCAATAAATGAATTGAGATTGATAAATGAATGAACTTAAAAAAAGAAAATGGTCATATATGTTTTATATCTTTTTCATTGCCTAGGAATTTCATAACTTTGGTGAGGATGTCTTCTTGATTTTTCACGGATGCTGATACATTCTGAGGTATTCCGAGATCTTTTAACCTTGCAGTGTAAAAAGGGCAAAAAAATGTTTTATAGTTCATGACTGGTCACACTTTTGACATTTGGGGATAAGATCTTTGGTTATGAGGTGGAGGTGTGTCAATATTGTCTGACTACGGTTCATTATGGTCTGTAAACATACACATAGTGAATAACGAAAGTTTACTAGTCCCAATTTGAATTTCTGAAATAATGAAAACGGACATTTCATGACGTAATAGATTCCTTATCTGTATCCAATTAAACTTACAATTATTGTTCTAAATATATAACTGAAGTAAGTTGATGGTTGTTAAGTTTATCCCTGAATAATGTAAATATTATCTAGCTGCACAATGTTTGTATTTATAATCCCTAACAGATGTCTAATAATTCGTTATGAAAAGCATAGAGATACATAGAGCCGGCCGATATGGGAGGTAGAATGAAGCATCTATTAACGGATGATTGCTCCGCTACATCGGATACTGCCTATCGGTTAGTCATTAACCGGTGGGGGGTGGAAGTTGCGGCCAAAGCTCAATAACTGCCTTTGATAATGGCAGCTCACAATTGCAGCTTTGTCAGCCGCAATAATTGAATATGGCGAAAGGATCCGAGCACACCTATGTTCGGAATTAGTCTTTGATTGGATCGCATCCTAAAGGACAAGGCCACATTGTTTGCTTTATCGAAACAAACTGCCCGTTAACTGAAACGCACGTTTCCAAACGATATTCCAATCCGTTTTCCGGGATAGACGTTTATTCCGAATGCCCTCACAACCCAGAATATTATATATGTATAATATTATATCTGTTTGTATTTGAAAGTCACGAATTTAGCTTAGTTTAGTTACTCAAAAGTCTACTTTAAATGGCTTTAACAATGACAACCTCTGCTTTAATTTAAAGTAAATTTTATCTTTTTTACAATAAAGCAATTTTTAATTACTTAAAATAAATATTTCTTCAGTTATTGCTTCATAGTCAACAAAAAAACATGACTTAAAAAGTTGGCGTAAAAAGTGTATCTTGTTTGGTTATTTATTATTGTATATGAAATTTTTTTTTTGGTTGGTTGATTACATTGTAAATACTGAACACTCCGTACCTTTGCTACAGTAGGTGCAAGAATTTTTGTAGATATGTATCTGCTTTATTTCTTTTTTGTTTTGTTGTTTTTATCTATTATTATTGATAAGTTTACGAAGGATGTCCGTAAACTGGTGGGGGGGGAGTTAAGGTACGGAGCGGGACAGTATTAGCGTTAATACCAAATGCAGTGATGTAAACAATCTCAGAATGTATTTATAGAGGATTAGAAGGAGAAATAAAGCTGTCTTGATTTCGTCTTCATGCGTGTTATTTCTTAACCCTAGTACTTTTTTTAAGTGTTCCAAGGCCGCTACGCTTAACTTATATATATATATATATATATATATATATATATATATATATATAATATTTATTGGTATTACATTATATTTGAATCCGCGAATTATAATAAGGAATAAGGATTGCTATTAATGCTAATATCGTCCCTTCTAATACAATGGCCAAAACTACTAAATGAACTCTTCCAAAGGCATCGTGTTCCCTTCAACCCCAATAATAAAGGCTCGTAATTTCCAGTTCTTGGAATTTCCAGCAACGAATTACAAGCAGTGCCCTCAAATAACAATACAATTTGTCTAAACAGTTATAAACTGTCACTTAAATTAGCTTCACATTTCACCCTCCGATTTTATTTTCAAAATAAAGTTTTCACTTGTTATTTATAATTTTTTTCTTAACCCCGCCTAAACGAAAGAAATAAGTTATGATCAACCGTGGTAGGGTAACAGGGCTCTTCTTCTGGCGTGGCCGTTAATAATGATTTCTCTCTTATTAAAACGTTTGCGTTATAAACATAATTCCATTGGTATGAGGTTTTCAAGGCGATCCATATCCAAATGAACTATATTTTATCTACCAATTTATTATAAAATGGTGATCCTAGTACCTTCAACTGTAACAAACACAATGCTATAAGTACACCCTTTAGCGATTTAGTAGATTTTGACGCTAATGATGTCGATATAATTATTATGTCCTAAATATATACGTGGTGAAGTACCTATTGTTAAAGATCCAATATCCTGCTATATATTACAGTTCATTAGGACCATTCCTAATAATATAATATCAATACCGGAAGACCTCTGATTTCTGATGGGATTTTAATGACAGTGATAATGACCTATATGGGAAATAAAATAGTCATTTAATGCAGATTTATAGGTCCCGCTCACAAAATTATGGTCTCACCATTAGCAGTGATCTAAATTATTTTATATATTAAACTGTAACTATTTAGCCTGTGGATAATACATTACATTATAACTATTCTGCCGATGAATATTTTCATTGCCGTATTGTTTTAGGTAAGATATTTTTTTTTTATTTAAGAAAACGATTTGAGTTCATTATGGTTCAAAAAAGCTTTATTGTTGTTAAGAGAACCGTTTACTTATTTACAAAAACACGTAAACATGAATGGTAAATATCGCTTAGGTTTCTCTAGTCAGGTATAAGATATTACAGAATGAGTTTTCGAAGAATAAAATTTGCAGGTGAGCAAAAAAGTTTTTTTTTTCATATAATTTAAAGGCAGGAAAATTGCTTACTTTGATCATAACTTTTAAAATTAAATTACGTATGATTATCCTAGCTCAGTAAATTTTATCTCATATTTTTTCCAGCCAAACCGGTTAGATATTCGAAACGAAGGGTCTGAAGTGCATGAATAATCTTGATAGTATAATAACATCTTATTTATTATAAAAAAAACAACATCAAAACCATTCAGATGTTCAAAGTATTTTATAAAATTTTAAAACATACATAATATATATTTTTTATCCTTACTTTTATATCCACACTTGTCACATAAATTGCGACAGTAAGCAGATGTTATTATCTAAATATATAATATAAAATAATAGGCATGAGGTAGGCCAGCAAACATTGGCACATCTTTAGGTGGAATTCTACAATATTTCTTATAAGGAGATATTTTGACCAATTTCTTTCCATACTTTTTCTGGCGAGTTCATGCTTATCCGTTGTAGCTATATTCTCTGTTATGAAATCTTTGGTAGGAAGAACGACTTTGGTCTTCAGCAGTACGTGAAAACATATTGAAACACTAATAGCATTTACTCTAAAAAATAATCTATAATAATTTTAATACAATATTAATAATTGTATATGATTTTTATTATTGTTTATATACAACATTTAGATTTGTATTAATACATGCTACATAACTATTTCCAGTTCCATGAAGAACTGTCAACCCTACGTCTCTCTTTCTGTTCTAGGAATTTTCTCGCCATCCCTTAGAAGTAAGATGTAGAAAGTACTTAGGCGCACTGTACCTCTTTCTGTTAGTGCTACCTCGTTCCCCCTATCCTAGTCCTTCGTCTTGGAACGGACTTCTTTCCTATTCCACATTTTCTGCACATGACCCTACCATAATTGATGCAGATAAAATTAAGGCTATCCACATCGGATCCAGACATCTCATTAGTTCTCTTCCTTACTTACCTCAATAACCGCTCAACTATCTTTTAAAAGTAAAAACCTTTTACAGAACAGGAGTAACCTTTGACCAGAACCCCAACTATAACAACCATATCTCCCAGATTACCCGAAAGTCCATAACAGTCCTTAAACAACTCCTAAGATTCCGTGATTGAATTCCTCTTAAAACAAGAAAGCTCCTTGCAGCTTCCCTTGTATTCCCATCTTCGACTACGTTGCTTAGTGTATGGATGGCTATTTGGCAGGCTAGCAATGAGACTGAAGAAAGTTTGTTTCATAAAATAGAAGAACTGTTTCATAAAATACATTTTTGGGATTCCCAGGAGTTCTCATGTTTCATTCTGATACATCGAGCTGAAGTGGCTTTATTCTACTTCCCGATGACGATTCCTCCTTGCTGTTTTCCTTTTCCAAGTCCTCAGGACTAAAATCCCTCCCTACATACTGGATCTCCTTACTCTACGTATGTATCCTATGTATCCTATGTATCCTCTCCCATAAAAATGCTTCTTTCAGCAAATCCTTCGTCATTCGTGCTAGCTCCTTTTGGAACTCTCTACATTCTTGCATACGTCAATTCTCGTCCACAAATTCCTTCAAACAACTCCTGTCCGCCACCTATTCCATATTCAAGTAAAATTTACTTTCGTCTGTACACTGTATAATTCAATCAACTGCACAATTGCAATAACAACAAACAGTTAATTAGGCATCACTTTGTATTCTTTTACACCAGACTAAGACTCATAAATATGTAAATCTGTTATAATTCTTAGGGGATTGTAGTCCCCAAATAAAATAATTTTTTCATTCATATCATTCTTTCTTAGTCGAGGGCAGGTCCATTAGCAGGCAGCATGAAACTCGTTAAAGATTCCTTAGACTTAAAGAAGTGTTTATTTTTAATTAAGCAATGCTAAATTTTATAACTTTTAATGTTACACCTGTTTACAGGAGGCGGACATGGCAATAGCTTCGATGACAATCACTTCAGAGAGAGAACGTGTGATAGACTTCAGCAAACCCTTCATGTACCTCGGGATCAGCATTATGATCAAAAAGCCAGTCAAACAGAAGCCCGGAGTGTTCAGCTTCCTCAACCCTCTGTCCAAGGAAATCTGGGTCTGCGTCATATTCTCCTACATCGGTGTCTCCATTGTGCTGTTCATCGTGTCCAGGTTCTCCCCCTACGAATGGAGGCTCCTATCTTACGACGATCCTCATCACCATAGTCTTCATGCGACGTCCTCGTCATCTAATGTCTTGGCCAACGACTTCTCAGTTCTCAACAGTCTGTGGTTCGCTTTGGGGGCATTTATGCAGCAGGGTTGTGATATCTCTCCGAGGTAAGTAGTATGTGGCAAATAATTAAAGTATACATTTCAAAAATAAAAAGCTTGACGGACAATTAGTTTTTAAATTATAGGTATTAATTTAGATAGACAAGATGGAACAAGACTGTATATCATTTATGGATCCGTCAATGAGTTATAGAACTGCCTTAAACTTCTTCCGAAGACAATGAATAAGCTCAACGATGTGTATAAGAAATTAACTATTTAAACATTTACTTGGAGACGGATTCAAATCTCACTCTTCGAGTTGTTAGTTAAAATAGTTTTCTAACATTCAGTTTCTAGCAATGAGGACTTACATACAACTTAGTAAACATTTTCACAACTCATTTATTTTGGAAATGTGAAAATAGAAACCTGATGTTGTAAGAATGAAAAGTTTACTGGAATTTCAGTTAAAATTTTATGTATGCTATAAGAAACCTCCTAAGTTAGCTTCTGCAACTAAAGTATGTACGTAATCTTTAACTTTCCAAAACTATAAAAAATGTATCAATTAGCTGTAACTCAAACCTTCACACATGTTATTTTAGATAAATTAATTGTTCAATCCATTTACAATATGAGAGACACAACATGATCATGTAGGAAAATCAGTTCGATTATTTCATTAGTAATGGAATTAATAATTTAGGATGGGCTTAGGCAATTACAGTGATTATTAGCTTTCTACTATCTTCAAAACTTAATAGAAATGTAACTACCTTTTGGGTACTGTTGCAAAATACATCATTGTTACATGTTTTCAATAAGAGAAAATGTACCTTTAAAATCAACAAAAGTTTGAACATCTGCTTAATTTAATATTTTTTTCCATTTTTTTTTTCAATTCGAAATCTGGAATAACTGGACGAAGAAAGGTCTGATTTAAGCTGCGCAGAGCGATACAAAGGAACCAGCGGACCGTTCTCCTCCTTAAAGGGAGGAAGATGAACTATTTCCTTTGTGTTTGTTGTACCTTCAGTTGGCAAGACTGAGCCCTCCTCGTTAGAGAGACACTCGTTAAAGTTGGGATTGTGACTGCGGCTAGATACCGCCACTGTCCTCCGCCTTTATGAACGATTGAATCGAGACCATCTTATTGGTGGAGCTAAGGAATTTGGGCCCGAGTGTTTCTACGATTCTTATCAGATTAAATTAAAGAGCATAATATGTATTGATGTTTCTGCCAAGAATTTTATGATTAATTTTATTGTTTATTTCCTGGCAATGATAAACAACATTTGATTTATTTGTTGTATTTCCAAATTACATGTTAACGTGCTGGGATATTTACTCCCCTCTACAGAACTACAATCCCAATGTTTTTATGATGATTCATGGCTAAAAATTGAGTCAAATTAACATAAATTTTGTAATTACCTTAAATCTAATGTGCTCCATTGTCAGGTTCTAAATTCATGTTATAATAAATTAAAATATATAATATGCAGAGCATCATCATGCTTTTAAACGAATTATTGGGTGTCTTCCATGGTGAATACCATTGACCTTTGGATATGACTGTTTATTTATTTACTATTGTTGTTAAATGTTTATCTTTTATGTAGCTCTGCAATTTCATTTTTATTAAATTTTAATTTTGTTTAATATGTCAGCATAATGTTTCCCTAAATGTGTGGTGTCTGTTTTATAATTCACTGTTGTTCTGTAGTTTTTTGTTACGTGTATGGCTTCAAGTAATTTTCTATTATTGTTTTTTTGTTCTGTACCTAATATCCGTGGTTTATTGAAGTTGAATTTATGCTGCGATGTGCTAAAGCTGTTGTGCTTATGTTGTTTGTATTTTTACAGTTAGTACTGTATTTTTATGTCATATCTGGATATTGTTATGGCTTGAAGAGGCTTAAATTACCATGGCAACAAAATTACTTTCTTACAATACCGGACGTACGGTAGAGGAAGAGTGAGCGTCGCAAATCCTTAATTGAAAAAAATAAATAAATGAGGTATTGAAAAAAAATCCAAATAAAATAAACTGGATATTATCCACCTAGCACAAGAGCCATACTTATCAATAGAGGGAGGGGGACGGTTTTTTTCAAACATCCTTTTCAGAACCACTCATACTCCAGTTCTATTTATTAATCTATTTATTTCTATATTAGCGAAAAATCGCGTGTGGTATCTTAGTCTTACTCGCGCCAATTCATCAAGTTTTTAATATTTTTTTTTTCAAATATGTTACATTTATTCAAAATAAGATACTACTCATAATGCGTTTAAAGTAAACGTACCGGTAATATTCACTTTAATAGAAATGTTTAACATTAATGTGAACTACAGATTTAGTTCTGATGTCGGGCCTTTGCAAATGGATTTTAATCGAAAAATAATTTAGTCTTTTATAGATTTTTTTTTTCTATACAATTGAGTTACAGTTAATCATTCATGAAAAACATAAGAAAATATGACAGCATATATCGCACTAGTAATAGACACGGAGGTTTTCGGTATTCTGTATAATTACAAAAATAAATTATATTACAAAAACTAAGAAATGGCAAACTACAGATGAATGAATCAAAATTTCAAACTTATCTTCTAAAGAAAAATCGTGAGGGAAGCTCCCTGAAACAAAGACCCAGCCTTGCTCCATTAAAAAATCAACTACCAATCGGCTATTGTGCCATCCCTTGTGATTCAGGTATCACCATCGTAAGTGTTTTAACTACAAATCTACTCATATTTCCACTCTCCGTAGTGAATACAAAGCTATTGCTAATTAATGAATTTTCTATCATAAAAATCTAAAATTTAATATAATGATACATTCATTTTTTAATAATAATCTTTTTTTTTTTTTAGTCTGTGGTACAGACCCCTTTCTATCGAATTATTAACATCCGCCTGAAACTTCGTAAATAGTTTCATCTCATCGTAACCTATAACTATTTTATTTATGAAAACTTTTGTAATAACGATATTTTCTATCTGGAGGGGAGCAAACTTTGTCTATTTAATGAGGTAATATATACTCGTAAATACCCACTTGCTTTTTACCTTGATGGTAAGAAAATTTTATCACAAAATCGATAAAAAATGTGGCCTACAAAAATATCATTAAATAAAAAATCCAAATAAAATAAACTGGATATTATCCACCTAGCACAAGAGCCATAAATATCAATAGAGGGAGGGGGACTAGTTACATATCTTACAGCTGATGACCCAAACACGTAACTCTCGTTTCGCATTGCTTGGCCGGGAAAAATATAAAATATTATAAACCATAACTGCCGGATATTTATTGCTTACAGGCTGGATTTTAATCTTATTACTGGAACTAAAACTCAGTGGGTAAAGTATTTAAAGATCTACAGCTGATTTGAAGATTGAAGAAATAGTGATAATAATATTCAACAAAAATTTTCTGGACCACTTCCAGGAAGATTGTATCAAATATTGGAGCCGGATTGTCATCTCAAATAATTCTATACGCAAATAAATATCAAACTTTAAATTTACTATAGGACAATAAACAGTTGCAATTAATAAGCAAAAATAAATAAAAAAGCAATATTAATAGGGAAAGTTTCTCGAAAAGTGCTATTTCACTTTATAGTAAATAAAGATTAAGCAACTGTTTTCCATTCCGTAGAAGTTTTAAAGAAGCAGCTAAGGTTCAGCTTTACACGCTACCAACTTTTCTGCTTAACAATCAAATTATAAGTTCTATGGCCAGATGAATAACTGCCCCTTAACCCCATAGCTGCGCTTAAACCAACTTCCCTACTTATTAAAAGTTTCTGAAATAAGTTTGCTGTTAATATCTTGTAGAAACACCTAAAATACTACTGGGCCCTTTTATGGTGTATAACGTTTAACGCTATAATGTCGAGCCATCACAAAATAGCATGCTTTGTCTATACCCTATATCGTCCTATCCAAGTTTTTTTTAAAATGTGATCGAAGGTTGAAGTTTTTCTTCGGTTAAACCATTCTTAATCTGTGTTGATTTATTGAACATTATCTATGTGAATTGGCGTTTCAGCATCATTTGATTTCTATTATCATTTGAACAGACTCAAGTTGAGAAGCAGATTGATGAGATTCTGTAGAACGTAAACGAGGATGGAACAATGGATATCGACACAAAAGGTGACGTGACGTAGTTTCAGGAATCCGTGAACTGTGGAGGTTTCTGCTCGTGACGTTGTTTGTCACTAATGACTAAGAACTGCGTCGCATATAATAAATATATTCTTTAAAATTAATTATCCACTTTTGATTTGATGAGGGAGATTTGTATAATTCCAGTCTTTAAAGAGGGCATCTTCACACTGAGCAACGGTAAGGGTGAAAGGATTATGGTGACGATGAGTTTTATAATAGATTTTTGGGGTTTTAATAGAGGAAACCGTTTTTTTTATAAACTTAATAACTTTTTTATGTCTCATAATCAAAATTTTAAGCCCTAAGACTATCTTAAATTTTATATTTTGGAAACAACAAAATTAGCATAAACAGTATTTATATCGACTTATGATTACTTTTTTTTTTTATATATAAAATCATTGTATATATTAATATACCTTGCAGTTGTATATTCTTACTTATATAACAAATATGCAACATTAATCCTCCATCACCTATCTATCCATAATGTATTCATTTTATTTCGTCATATTCTAAAAAATTACTATTCCGATTACTAATACATTTTTTTAAAGATAATATTGTTCACTTAATTTCAAGGCCACACTGCATCTATTTGTCTAGGATTGAACTTTGTTCTAATCATATTTTGTCTTTGTTTATTTTTTACCATTAAATTTCATACATTTTATCTGTAATATATTGTATATATATATATATATATGAAATGTATTTTACAAGGGTCTGCACCCAAAGTAATTTAAATGTTGTGGTTGTAAAAATTTGAAATGATAAATCATCTAACAAAAAAGTTCATATTTTGCTATTTCATATTAAGAATATTCAGAGTATTATGTTTTAAAAGTTTATTTTAATATTATAATTATTACTCA